CTCATGAACTTGTGTGACATGGTTTCCAAAGTTTTGTACATCCTCAGAAGATGGGATACTGGGTAACAATGTGACCTTGGCTGAAGTTTAACAAGCCACCATCATTCTTCCTATTTACTATGCTCTGTTATTTTCTATTCTTTCCAATTAATTTAAAGCAGCCAATTATCTAGCTATTGCAACTTTTTATTTATCTAACCCATATGATTGTTCTAGGTGCCAGACACTATTTTCCCCTCAGTATGGCCACCCTATTAGATAGGTACCACATTTCTGCATTTATTACTTAGTGATATAATATTATTAGTGATATTACTTGTCTTCCTCCCTCAATGAGTGTGTAGTGTCAAAGTAACAATATTTATAATTTTCCTTTGTATGTACTCTAATTTGTTGCCTTTTTGTTGCCTTTATCCTTCCTGTTCTCATTCTCTGGGAGCATTGACTAAAACTTCTGTGCATGCTTGTTTTTTTAAAAAAATATTTTAATAGAACTATTAATTTTCTTCTCTAGATTTTTCTTTTCAGTTAGATTTCTTCATTAGAACATTTTCTGCTGAAGGAAAAAAATGAATTTGGAGACTGTTAATCAAGACTGGCCATACTTGGTTTCCGAGTAATTCTTTGTCTTCTAGTTGCTGAGAAATGAGTCAGAATCTTATTATATGTCAGCTGCCTTTATGCTGACCTCACTGTCCTGTTTTGACTTCCATCTCCTCTAAGTGAGTCTGTCTATTGTGCAGATATTTTCAAAGGCTTTCTGCTTGGAATAAAGACCAAAACTTTCCTCCTGGTCCTTAAGGATGTATCTAATCAGTCTCTGCCACAGACAATGTGGTACAGTGGTTAAGGTTTGGGATGCAAATTCTGGTTTCTCTACTAGCCTGCTGCATCTTAGGATTTTTACAAGTGAGTTAATGCACATAAAAGGCTTAGAATAGTGACCAGTATACACAAAGCACTTCATAAATATGGGCCCCTCTCCTTTTCCTCTGCCTTTCCTGCTTCCCTAACCCCTCCCCAAACTCTCCTCTCATCTCATGCTACTGGAAGAATCTTTACACATGCTGTTTCTACCACCTGGAAAGTTCTTTTTGCACTTGTCCCCTAATTCATCCCTACTT